GGGATGCACCTCATCAGGTCGCATAGACTCACGTATATTCAGGTTCCTCAGGTGGATCTTCACTTGCAGTGGGGGGGACATTGTCTGCTTGGTCCCCATTCTGTGGTCCTTCAGCTTGGGAACTGTGAGAAGATAGATCGCCAGTGAAGACTGAGGCAAAAAAGGCATTGAGAACGTCAGCCTTCTCCTCATCTGTTTTTACTAGCTTTCTGTCCACCTTCATCAGAGTGGGTATGCTTTCTTCAACATTCCTTTCCTGGTTCACATACCTCTAGAAGCCATTCTTGTTGTTCTTTGCATCCCTTGACCAGATTTACCTGCAGCTACGCCTTGGCTTTCCTGACCTCATCCCTGCACATTCATGCAGCATCCCTATACTCTTCCCAGGATGCCTGTCCCTGCTTCCACTGCCTGTGCAGTTCATTCTAGCCTTTCAGTTTGTCCAGAAGGTCTCAACTCAGCCATTCTGGTCTCTTTCCTTCCTTATCTGATTTCTTACACTTGGGAGTGGAAAGCTCTTATGTTTTAAGGAGAGCATCCTTAAAGATCTGCCAGCTCTGTTGTGCTTCCTTGTCCCTGCAGACTATTTCCCAGGAGGTCCTCTTGGCTTAACTCCTTGAGGAGCTGGGAGTTTGCTTTCCTGATATTCAGGGTTCTAACTATGCTCCTCATCTGACTTAGGCCCTTTAGGACCATGAATGCCATCAGTGCCCAGGCTGCCTCTGGTCCTAAAATCGCTGATGAGCTCACCCAAACTGGTGACCATCAGGTGTTGGAGCCTCTGTTGCATAATCCTATTTGCTTCTGGATAGTCTTGAGTGGTATTGTCTGAATAATCTTGAGTAGTATTGGAGACTATAACACAAAGTGTTTCTTAGACATGGTTATATACTACAGTGACTGCAGCATAGATGAGGACTTTGAGATAACTGTGTGGATCATATTTTTGTATTTTATTCCTTAACATCTTATTTTGATACATTACTGGCTTCTGTTGCCTCCTTCACCACTCTGAGAAAATCCAGACTTAGAGGAAGTTTTTCACTATAACTTTTTGAATAGGTTGTTCTTAAGCAATGATTTTGATTTGTTGTTACTCCTTTAGGAGATGGATGTTACTGTCTCCCTACAAAGGAAAAGAAAAATGGCAGAAGTATCTGAATACCATTTAGATACTTCCCTTTTGAGTTTTCTTGCTTCCTAAAGAAAGTGAATTGTACTAACCTTGAATCAGAGGTATTAGAATTGCTTTTTTGCATTGGTGCTTTGTAACTCTAGGAAGAAGATGATCACTACCTCAATTCAGGAAAGATTAGCAGAAGAAAAAATTGAATAAAAGGAGTTAAAAAGGAATAGGACTTTTCTGTTTCAAGAAAGACTTCTTCAGAAGCCTGCTGAGGAGGTTCAGAGGAGGCCCTCTTTGTAAAAGTAGGGGACTCAATCACTGCAAATCCTTTTAGAATTTTAGATCTTTTGGATCTGAGTCACCTCCCTTGATGCAGATGCAGCACTGATATGTTTTCAACAGAAGTGATGTCTTCATGGAGATTTTTCTCCTCCATAACCTTCAGAAAACAATTTGTACTCCAGTGTCTTTTTAGAGCCTCATGTGCAGTAGAGTTCTAATGTTAGTATTTTTTAACATACTTTTCAGATAGCTTTTGTGATTGAGAGCAAGGAAATATGAAGGGATAATACTGTAAAAAATATACTTGTCAGAGCTGGCTCTTTAGATGTTGGAATTTATCTGGATCTTTTATGGGACCTGGAACTGACTGGAACAGAATGATGTTCTTGAACTAGCAATGAAAACAAAAAAAAAAAGGAAGAAATCCCAGAGATGTTACAGGTCTTCAACAGTATGGGCCACAGAATCTTCAGTGGAGTTTTCAGCCATTTGGGTTTTAACAGTGGCCTATGTATTTAAAAACACACAAACAATCAAACCCCAAACAATAACAACAAAAAAACCCCAAACACCCTCTTCTCCCAACCCACACGCAGAGACCAAAAGAAACAAAAAGACCTGTAGCCATAAAATAATAAAATCTTTGCAGTGAGGGAAGCCTGGCTCTTCAAAGTATGTAAAAGTTGTATGCAAACATTTCTGTTGAGTACTGGAAAGTCATAGCATGCGGACACCTCAGATGTTAAAAACTGTTTTGAAGCAAGATCTTCCAGGTGGCTCAGAAGCCATTCTGTACAATCATTCCTTCCTGAACGTGGAAGCTTGAAACTGGGAAAACATTGGCCGCTGCAAACAAAATAAGTGGACAGAAGAAATATAGTAATCTTAAAATGTTTTTAAAATTGTATATGGCAGGCTTCCATATTTATATTTCTCCTGCTCCCTGTTTATTTTTGCCTCCACAGAGTATCTGTTTTCACTAAACCTTTCCATTGCAAGTGTTTCCAAATGTAGTTCTGGGTTGGCCAGCTGTAGATATTTTACCTAGGTGTTACTGTTCCGGTAACAAGAAATGTACCAATCCTAGTCCCTCAGGCTTAGTTCTTAGTTGATATATACAATTCGTATGATAAAATAATGCATCTAAAACTTGTGAGTTTGTATTGTAATTAATTCCATACAATTTTGGGAGTACCTGCTTGGAATTTGAAGGACTACAGGATGGATTGCACTAAACTTGAACTACTTCTGGTACATCCGGACAGTTAACAAGTGTTTCAGTAGAAACAGGGGCAGGATGAAACGGATTATGCAGTGTATTTTCCATGAGTTACTGATTGCTAGAAGACAGATGGTCTTTTCAAATGGAAATTGCCAGTGCTACAGCAATATCCTATTGGATTATATTTTTGAGTATTTCACCTGTTATTCCTCCATATGAAAGATAAAATACTTGTATAAAGATTACAAACCTTGACTAAGGGAATACGTTTTTCAAAGCAAAAGTGTTTGGTTTTGATCAAGATTATAATTTCTGACATCTCTGTTGGTATACTTTCTAATGGAAAAACAAATTGCAAATTTTCTTCGTTCTTCTAGCCAAATAGTCAGTTTCTTCTACCTCCTCCCATACTACACTATACTGAACTATGGCAGATGATAAGAAGGGTTTTTGTTATGTTAGTGAACTAAGGTCTAACATTTGAAAGAACTCTTAAGAACTGCTTTTATCATAATAAGAAACTGCTTTCCTGAAGACCTAAGAAAGAATACTGGCTATTATGGGATAATATCTGAACGGACCCACTGAAAAATGACTGTATGGGGCTTGCTGCTTGATTTTCCTAAACAAGGATTATTTGGAGGAAAAAAGATAAATATGAATTATTTACTTGACAGACTGTCAAGTAAATACACTACTCAGAATAGTAATTTGGAATGTGCTGGTCAATGTTGTTCAGCAAGATTACTCTCTGTAGTTTTCCATTAAAAAGAAGGAGGTGTTATGTTATGCTTTTTTCAGTGACATAGTAAATAGGCAAATATAGTAAATGTCTTTCTTCTGCCTTTTTACTAACTTTACCAGGAAGTCTGAAGTCTATTTTTTTATTAAGAAGTAATAGCTTAAAATACATGCATACAATTATTTAATGTGACTAATTGGTGGTTTTTTTTTCCTTTTGTCTTGCAGCAACGCACCTCTTGCTTTTTCCTCCAAAGTATGTTATATTAAGTTTCGTGAGGCATCGAGTGTTGGTGTGGCCCAGCATCTAACTAACACGGTTTTTATTGACAGAGCTTTGATAGTTGTGCCCTGTGCAGAAGGTTGGTATTTTAGACATTCTTCTGTAATGTTGGGTCTTTGTCATGTCTGCTAATTGTTTTAAGCTTTCCATGTAAAGAGGTGGTGCACTGTTGTTATTTTGTTTTATTTTATTGCTTTTTGAAAAAACTCTGAAACAAAATTGAAAATTGAATGAATTAACACAGTTATATAGATTTAATTGAAATTCATCATTAGAAAAAAGTAGTTAATTTAAATTAGAAAAATTTAGTTTTGCATAGTTATATATTTTGAGGGGAAGGAAGGTAAAATGATTCAATATGGTTTGTGTTGGCAAGGTTATTCTCACACAGAGTTCTCACTGAAGTCAATGGAGCACAGAATAGATTAGACAGGGTCCTTGCACCAGTAACACTGCAGTTGGAATCTTGATGTATTGTCCTTATTGTGGTGGAGATTTTGTTGTTATTGTTGTTTTTCTTTAGTATACTGGTTATTTTTTCATTTTTTTTAGGCTGAATCCCAGTTATGTCTTGTAGATGTGATATATGCATTTGGCCATTTTAGATTAATCTGAAATACTTAGCATTCCTGGTAATAATTACTGTTTAAATGTAAATGTTTATCTGCTAGTTTAATAAAATGTAAAAAGGCAATTTTTTTTTCTTGTTACTGTGGAAAATACTACTTTGTGTGCCATAAAAAGGCTTTCTTATGTATACTAATACTCCTTTCTGGTTTTAGATATCTTTAAAAATGCAGTGACCTATACAGAATGCTTCCAGTTTTAAAACTCTAAAAATGAAGTGCTTGGTGAATGCTAAATTTACAAGTGTTGCTTGAACAGGTTTTGAGGCCATACTTTCACAGATGTGTTGAATACAACATAGTTTGTATTGTTAGTATAGTACTCCACATCAGAGTACAGTTCTACGAAACATGGCCCTATGGTAGGCATATTGATGGAGTTTCACAGAGCCCCATTGACTTCATTGGGATCATTGTGGAATTGAGCATCTGCACATTTGTTTCTGGACTTTTTGCCTCTTTGGAGAGGAAACATTCCAGCAGATAGAATGAACCTAGCTTCACTTTGAACACGGTAGCTATTTTGCCACGAACAACAGTATTTAGAATGATTGAACCATAAACTGCAACAAATCCAGAAATACCTCCTATTAACACATCTTTGCTAACTGTGAGAGTCAGGTGTTGGTTGAAAAAATACTGTTGACTTCTTGGAGTTTGTGAACAGTTGTCCCAAAGTAGCGGTTTTGGATGTATTTTCCACATCATGATGTGGATGGTATGACATTTGTGCTGCTAATAATGGTCCAAGATGTTCCTAGCAAACTCCAAAAATTCACAGACTCTTTAAGTACTTTAACTAAAGGCTATATTGACCTGCAATATACCGCTTATTCTTGTTGCCTTCTTAACAGGTGCATATGGCACAGATATTTGTATTTATGAAGTCTATTTTTTTAGTTACTTTTACGCCTTGTTCTGGGGGCATTGTGGTCTTATTTTTTGAACTTTTTCACCACAGAGGGGATATTACTGTATCCAGTTGAAGCTCTGTAGAAACTAATGGGACTAGAGTCCTTAGTACTGAAAAAATGCCCCTAAATAATTGACTGCAGGTTATTGAGGATCTTAATTTTACGTTTCATCAAAAAGATCCTAACACTGGTTCAGTATTGCCAGAGAGGGAAGATTGTTGCCTAATGAATGAACAACACTTCCCTGTGTTTTTCTTGTGACGAGATCACAGCCTGACGTGATACTGCATCAGGCAGGTAAAGCTATATTTTCATGTGTCTATTGATGGTAGACAATGAATGGAAGGAGAAAAAAATCAAAGTTCTGACAAGTCCCATTTGTAGCTGACTTAACTAGGCATTTCTGAGAAGACATTACAGAAAAATTGGCACTGTTCAAAATTGTTCGGGACCCCACAGTGATTTATGTGTTAATTAGGTGAACAAGTGATTGGATTGTGAAGTAATTTTTTTTTTTTTAATGTCAAAATGTTGTTTCCATGTAGCTCTCTAACAGAATCACCAATGTATAAAGAGGTGAATTGATATAGGTTTAACTTTGTGAGGAATATATCGTGTGGAATAAGTATGGGTTTGGAGACCACAGCACAAGATTTTTGATTCACTATGTGTTATATGATGCATTGTTAATGGAGTCATTCTGAGTGTATCACAGGCTTTAAAAGGCTATATTCTACTGGGAGGTAGAATTATATCCTTGGCCAACAGTGCCAGTAATGAAACATTTCATGCGCCGAATCAAACATAGAGGAAAGGTAAAATGGAATTCTTAAAACTTGGTTTTAAAGAACAGAACAAAATTTGACGTTTGTAGTGTATTTGAACAGTGATAAATCAAGGGAATATGAGGAAGAAATTGCTACGCTATTAAAAAAAAAGTTATTTTTGTGACATTAAATAAACAATTTAACAAAAATGTAATTGTAAAAGAAGTAACGTATTAAGCTCTCAAAATAAGACTCTTGTGTGTGCGTATCAGTAATTTTTTCTTTAAATGTTATACTTTGAGAACACAAAGGTTGAAAGGTAAACAAAGATGCCACCCTAATTCTAAATTTTATATCCACATTTTCTGGTAGATGGATTTTGACTATTAATTTGGTTTTGTATGTTTTCTCTGTGTGATATTTGTGCATTATTAGATGACTAGACTGGCCAAGGCAGACCTGTTACACTTGCCTGAGTTAGGCATTGTTTGCCATGCCACTAAACCTGCCGCCAAGTGAAACCTTCATGGGGGAAATGAGATCGAAGTCTGGCCTGCTGAAGATGGACGCCCTGTCTCTGTTTTTATTTTATTTTGCTTTCTTTCCTTTGTTTCTTTTATTTTTATCTTTATTTTATTTTGTCCCTTTTTTTGTTTTGTTCTGTTATCTTTCCCTTGTACTTGTGAACTGGTACTTCAGTTCTGTAAAAACAGTGTTCTGTAAAGGGTTCACAGTGTTTCATTTTGAAGTTAACCTGAAGCTGCTTATGAATGGTGGATGGTATACATGGAATTTAGAATATGATCAGTTTTTATACTATGAATTACAGACAAATTTGATGCAAAATACATTTAAGCATCTAAATTCCACAAGAACATTGTGTGAGAAGAGAGGAATAGTGGAAAAAAATACCGGTTTTGAAATACATTGTGTTTTATGCTTTTTGGGTTTATCTTGGAAAAGCACAGTTGAAACTCTTACTTCAGGAGAAATTAACGTTACACAGTGAAGTCATGATCTTTCTCTGCTATTATTCCTTTTCTCAGCAGAGTAGTCTTATTTTAGATTGCATGGTCTGTTTAAAGTAAGGCTTACTATTTATGTCTATAAAAATAATTCTGAAATCAAACTTCATGAACACTGAATATCATAAAATGTTTGCTTCTGATGAAACCTTGCTCTGGTTAGGTTAGCGGCAGTAAGAGTTCATCCTTTTGTTTTTGTAATTTTCACAAAAACTGTTTACCACTCATAAGTACAAAAGCAGCCTGAAGTTTTGGTTGGAATGTGTTGTGTGAGGCACATTGTCTTTTAACACTGTTATTTGTGGGAAGATTGAATCAGTTCTGTGTGTGTGCGTGTGTATGTATGTATGTGTATCGCACTTTGGTGTGCTCCAATGGTGATTATTTCAAGAAGAAATTTTTAAAAAAGAAACGGAAAAAAAGAAGAAAAAAGTTTCTTCTCGGTCACCTCACAATTTCAGAAGCCCTGGCAGTTCCTGCTGGTGTGATTGAGAAGGTTCTGGTCACTAAATGATGTTCTTTCTTCTTCTGAAATGGAAGCCCTGAAGCAGAATGGTGAATGGAGTTGGTGTGTCTAACCCTCAGGCATCACTCTTCCCAATCAACTGCATGGGGATCAATTGTTTCACTCTGGTAATGCACCAGGCTGTGGGCTGCAGCTGGGAAGAACTTTGCTTCATGATCTCTTGTTGGATTTGGCTGTGGCAGTTTAGGTAGTTGCTAGTAGGTGTAATCTCTTTAATCACTGCTGCTAAATCCAATTAGAATCACGAATTGGATCACACAATTTTTTAATTTGCATTTTCTGTTGATTTAAATTAGCAGGAAAATAGCAATTCCTTTAGTTACACTTAGAGTAGATGTGAACTGTATATATTTTTAAAACAAGCTAACTTACTGCAGAAGCAGTTTGAGGTGGGAGGGTTGACTGTGTCGTTTCAGTAATTAATTTCTTCTGAGCATTTGGAGGGGGATAAAAAATACTGTGATTAGTACTTGCTTAACAATTACTTCAGCATTTAGCAAAATGAATTCTCTTATGGACTAGGTTAATCAGGGCTCTTGTGCACTTTTATGATACAGAGAAGTAACAGTAGTAACTGTTACTTGGGACAACTGTATATATCTGAAGAAGCGTAAGGGGTCTCTAGGCAGTGCAGAGCTAATAGCTACATCTGCTTCCAGATTCCTTTGTAAAGTGAAGAATCAATGAATAAATGGTCATGGAATCTGTAATTTACTAAATAGAAGAGATTCTAAGATTTTTCTTTCAAAAGGTGATATAGGTATGACTAATTTATTTTGTCTGTTTTCTTCATTAGAAAATAAATACCTTTACCTCATTTCCATTCACCTTTTAAATACTACAGGTTTAAAAACTGAAACAGTTTTAAGTGCCCTTATTTGTTTTGTCATAACCCACATGGTTTGTTGTATCTTTGTGGGCTTGTATTCCTTCTCTAAATAAATTCATGGGGATAAAACTCCAAAACTTACCTGTAACTTGTCAGGTTATTTTTAGTAATGTTTTTCAAAACTATCTAAAGAACAAGGAAGTAAATTTGCAACATACTTCAGGTTTTCTTTCCTCCACCCACAGTAGTTTGTGTTCTGCACACTTGTTAAAAAGTTTGACAATCTTAAAAACTGGAGAAAAATCGTTTGCAAAAACAGTGTCTTTGAATATAGAGGCAAATTTTCAGGATTCTGTCTGTAGAAATAGACTCTTTCTCATTCTTGAATAAATAAATGAATCTTTGATATGAAACTGACCAACTAGATTTCATATTTAAAATAAAACACTACGTTGTTGAAGGACCAAAGTACTCTGGAAATAATACTGCTAACTACGATGTAGATATGTATGTTATTCATTCATTGAACTGCTGTAATGGTGCATTAACCAAAAGTGTTCAGTGGATTCCTTGAGCAAATGAGTATTTCCAGTTATTTCAGTAAGCGACCCATATGCTTAAAAGTATAGACTTCAAATACATTTCTGAACTTGACTCATTGTTTAGTTATGTGCCTAACTCAATTGCTATTTAGAAGGGCTAAATGCCTGAACAGCTCTTAAGTTTATCTGGTTAAGTGTATATTGAAGTGGCTGTATGTAAGTGCATACTTAAACTAGGCATATACTTATGTACATTACTGACCAAGGGTCTAAATCAGCGTGTAGATACACCACATCAGGAACAGCTCTTGCCTTTTGACATGCCTTAAGCCATGTCTGTTGCTTGTACAGAGACCTGCATGAGTATGCAGTTAATTGCAAGATGCTAGCAGTTTTAGGATAAGGTCTCTTCATTAGTCATTTGAAAACATTCAATTATTTCGATTTTCAGAAGAACTGGTACATAATTCTATGCCTAATTTGCATGCACAGGTGCTGGAACTATGTATTCTAAAGCCTGTTAGTTAGCTACATGCTAGGCAGGAAGTGCAACAAAGTTCCTGCTGCTCCTGAGCAGTCAGGCAAATCAGGTACAGCTCTCGTTGCATGCCTGACTTCAAAATGAGATCTGTAAAGAGTGCTGAGCGTTGTGATTATGTAGATTCATGCATGTTTTTTAAAAAGCCCTGGCAGTCCTTATTGCACAGTTAATTCTTAAGTGCTAATAATTTTCCTATTTTTCTCCTTTAGATAGCAAAATCAAGTGCTTTGTTACAAGTTAAGGAGCAAGGTGCCTCAAAATTTAACATAAAACAAATGTAAATAGAAAGCATGAGAAAAAAATGGGTACTGTTATTTTATCTTTTCTATTCCACCCATGCTGCATATAAATTAAGTTTTATTTAGATTTGTTTTGTCCTTTGGTCATATCCAACTGTAACCCAGTCCTTTTTGCAGATCTGTAGAACAGGTTTGCATCACTTTTTTGTTCTTTTTACTTTTTAAAAAATGCTGTGTTTCCTGTGGGGTCTATTGGGACTTGTATAGCTAAAACTAAACAGTGTTTTGAAACTTAAGTCATATTTTGCTTTTTCTTAAGAATATTGATATATTAATTTTAAAATCCTGAATTTAGGGGTTTTACAGTTAGAACATATCCAGGTTTAACCAAACCAGTAGAAGACACTGGCACAGTATTGTACATACCTTGACTTCTAAAACAATATTTAAATAAAAGCATTTACTTTATTGAAGTGCAGTGGGTAATACCAAAGGGCTCAATTGGATAGTGTATAAACAGTTATGCCAGTAATCTTGAATAGATAATAGCTACCTAGTATAATTAGAACTTCTTTCTTTAGTTTTTCAGTTTAGTGTTTAATGTTTGTACCAGTTTAAATTCCTTTGCATTTCAGATTTAATATGTACATTTAATTGTAATCTTAATTGTTTAACTATGAAATCTGTGGATTTTTTTAAACCTTTTTTTCATTTAACAGTCTGATTGTGACTAACATTGAATGAAGCCTGCATTTAATTCAGTTTAAATATTAATTAAACTTTTAGCATGACAGGGGAAATATAATCTGGTTGGAATAGTAGGAAATAAATATTTTGGGGAAGTATAGCTTGCTTAGCTCATCTGCTATGATTTTCTTCAATCTCAGTGAACTTAAAAGTAATTCATCAAATTTCAGATAAGCTGAGGTGACCTAGAATGTGGGACAGTACAAATCTGTATTTTTTCTGCTTTCCCCTCCTCCGCCTCCAACTTCACTTGCAGTATGTATTGTGTGGAGTCACAGTAGTTCAGCAGTTTTTATTTTATTTTTACTAATTTTTACATCCGAACTAGGTAGCACCACAGGAATTTTTAAAAAAAGCTCAAATTTCAGTTAGCACATACTTTGTTTTTTTCTTTTTTCTTTTTTTTTTCTTTTACTGATTTGGTTATTTGCCATTTCTGGGGATTAAACTTTAAAAAATGTTCTTCTTTTCTGTATCTGATGTTCTGTGTGCTATTAGTGATGCAGCCAACACGAACGGTTGTCATGTGTAAAACAACTTTCGATCACCGCGAAAACACCGCCCTGGGAAAGCGTCCATGCTTGATATCGTTTGGTTCATGAACATTAAGTTTCCAGTACAGGTGACCCATAGCTCAAAGTGTTAAATAATTGTATACATTATTCAGTTTTTAAAATAATAATCCATTAATGAGATTACTAGTCTTTGAAGTTTTGCTCACTTTTGTTTTTCCTAGTAGAGCAGGGTAAAAGGAAAAACTTAAGTTCTTATTTGTTTCTTTGTAAGGATCTGGTAGATAGATTCATTGTTATTTATTACATTTTTAAATGCAAGGGTAATTGTAAAATCATAGAAAGTGTAACATCTCTGCAGTGTTCCAACTCTGTGTAATGCTTCATTTGCTTCTTCAGGTAAAATCCCAGATGAAGCCAAAGCCCTTTCACTATTGGCGCCTGCTCCTACTATGACAAGTCTGATGCCTGGTGCAGGGTTGCTTCCTATACCTACACCAACTCCTTTGACTACTGTAAGTAAAATTCAGTTGCTATATGATTTCTGGTTTCTTCTATACTCAGTAGCCTCTTCTGTGTTCAGAGAACAAGAACTATCTGATGATGTCCTCATGTATGCAGGATCCGTGAGGGTTTAGCTGTGGTGCTTCCACCTGTGATCTGTTCAGGAAAAATTCCAAGTTACAGTACAGTAGGTTTCTCTTTTGTTGAGAATTTCGCACACTTTCTAAAAAATTTGTTCGCTCAAAAGGCATTTGCTTCTTGGGTGGAAAAGGTAGAATTCAAACCAGGAACTAATTTAGTGAAGGTTGTTAAGTGTATTTTTTAATGCTGCTTCCCAGGAGAGATTTCAGTTGCTGATTCCAAAAATGAGACCTGTGTTGTCCTAACTTCCTAACTCTCTAGGAAGTGACTGTTTCACAGAGTCAGAGAACGTGTTGGGCTGTAAGGGACCTTTAAAGGTCTTCTAG